CATCTAACCATCTAACCGACTGCTTAGTGGGTGCTGGTTGTTTGAATTTTTTGACAAATGTCAAATTCAATAATTTTATGTAGGAAACATGCTTCCAATTTATATGCAATTTATTATTCATTCAAAAATCCAATTTGTTACTGGTTATTGCTTTTTATAGCCGTTTGTAGAAAAAATATTGTATGATATTTGTGTTAAAAGTATTTTTAAGGTACTTATGTGAATTGCAGAATTCGCTTCGCTCATTCTGCAAACTTTCACATGAGTACCTTAAAAATGTACTTTTAACACTTATATCATAAATAACTATTAATTCATGTACAAAAAAAAAATGGATATTTAAAACACAAGACTTGTTTATTCCATATGGCTGGATTCCATTTTTCATGGGCTTTTCAACGAGCCCCCACAAGACATAGGTTTCTATTTAAAAAAAAAAGTTGGGGTGGCTGGGGGTTGGGGGGTTGGATTTTTTTTTTTTTAATTTAAACAAAAAATGTAAAAAACCCAAAATCAATTGACGTGTTTCAGCGTTTTTTGGATAAATTACTTGCTGAAAAACTATGAATTTTATTCCAGACTTTTGGCCACCCCTGTATATAATTATCGGTTTATAACGTTCTACGTCTTCCGATTCCCGATCTCCAACCATCTCTGTCAATCCAGGCATCCTCTTCTAAGCCTCTGTCTTTCATTTCCTCGTCTACTCCGCTTCTCCAGCTTTTTCTTGGTCTGCTGCGTCTTCTTCTTCCCCCTGGCTTCCACTCAATTATTTGCTTGGGTATTTTTGTATCTGCCATTCTTTGTACATGTCCGAACCAAATCAGCTGTTTGTCCTTTATATCATTTATTATTGTGTGTTTTACGTCCATAATCTCCCTAATTCTCAGATTTGTTATCCTTTCCATTTTTGACCTGCCTGCCAATCTTCTGCAAAAGTCCATTTCAGTTGCTTCTAGCATTTTTGCGGTTCTGATCTTTAGTGGCCAGACTTCTGAACTATACGTGACTATGCTTTTGACTATGGTGTTGTTTATTTTTGTTTTGTTAGTTTTTTTGATATTTTGATCCCACCGTACACCATTCAGTAGAGATATTGCCTTGCGTCCTTGTATATTCCGATCTTTAATTGCTTCGTTTAGGGTTCCCTCATGTGAGATTTTCATGCCCAAATATTTGTATTCAGTACATTGTTTTATTTCTTGTCCGTTATTCAATTTCAGATTTCGTTGTTCACCTCCTATAGTCATATATTCTGTTTTCGTTAGATTTACTTCCAAACCCCATTTCTCGTTGGTTAACGTAACTAAACGTACGTTAACGTTGCATTTGGTGAATGGTGCAGCACTTCGAAATTACTATGACTATGACTATGACTACGTCCAAAAAAATGTTGGAGAAATTTAAGTTCTACCAATCTTATACTGATATTGTTATTGCTCAGTAATATTTCGCGTATTGCAGTGTTTCTCTTATCTTTTTTTTTGTTTCTTTGTAAAATGCTAAAATATCTTTTCTTCCTTAAAGTGTTTTTTTTTTTGCTGAACAGACGGTTGAGGGGTGGTAGCCCTTTGGGTTCCTTATTTCTCAGTCGATCTGAAACTCGCCTAGAGTGAACTGTTAGATTTTGTGATGAATATTGTTGTTAAATAATAGTATATTCTTCAACGAGCATATAATGATAGATGATGGCTATTATTCATGAGAATGAAAATTCAAACATGAGCGGAAGGCGAGTGTTCGAATCATTCGTTAATTAATTAACCCAAATATATTGTTTCGATCTCAGTAAAAAAAATATTCTATAATTTCCTTAAATGTGATAGTATTGGCCAGTGTGAATAAAAATTTAGTAAAAGCTTTATCTTGCATTTCCTAAGGAAATACTTACTTTGCAGTGAATAAAAATGAGTATTAGCTTTAACTAATAATTCAATTAGTAAAAGCTACAGTTTTTAGCATTGTCTTTAAATGGTGTGAATAAAAGTAAGCAATTCCTAATTATATGAAGGAAAAGCTTACATTTTTGCAAGCCTGGTAAACCTTGGCTTAAAAATTTTAGTGGTGTTTAAAAGTTTAGCAGAAATGGCTGCGTTTATGAATATAAGGTTTGCGAAATTTTATCTCGAAAGAAAAAATGTCATGCCGAAGAATACTATATAGTTTGTATAGATTTAATTAAGAAAATGTTGAGTGAATAGCTAACTATTTTTTGGAGCCAAAAGCAGAGACTAGAGGTGATGCGTTAAGTCCGAAAAAACAAATAAAAATATTCTTGCGATTTTCAAGTGATAATGATTTCAAATAGGGATTGGAAAAGAATAGAACACCCTGTATATTTTTGGCTAGAATAATTGATTTTTTTCTTCTGATTCCAAACCTACCATATATGTTGATATGTATTTGGTTCATCTGTTTTTGCGCTATTTGAGTTGAAAATTGCATTAAGGCCGAAACAACGATGAGAATGCTGTGCTCTGATTGGTTGATATTTCGAATTTTGTTTTAAGCTATTTGAAAAAATGTCACATCAGAATTGGCTCAAATTTGGCATAAATTTTCTGTGATCGATTATCTACAATTCGCTTATTTTAGCCTTTCGATATTCTGCTTTTTTTTAAATTCAAAAATCATGTTCGCAACCACCAAAACAACTAAATGTGTTGATGGTTGCATATTTGCATGTTTATCAAGCTCAAATCCGTGAAAAGTATATTTTATTGATAACCACGAAAAACTAAAAAAGCAAATTGTAGATAATCTATCAAATAATATTTATGCCAAAGGATTTTGAAAATTATTGCGGATTTTTTGAGATTATCCTAAAATGAATTTTGAAGATGATAATTGGTGAAAACTTGACAGTTCAGTTCAAGCAATTTCAAATAGATGGCACCACGGCAAAAAAGCTACATTGGGAGCATCATAATTGTATATTTTTCTTTCTCTTTCACTAAGTGTTTCACCGACAAATTTTGTTTTAGACAAAAAATAAAATATTCGTCATTTTCAAAAACTAAATTTGAACATGGCGGCTTTAAGTAAGCTTCACCATTGATATAAGGAACTGGAAACAGACCTAATTTAGGTTAAATGTGAAACCAAATATCAACATATGTATATTTATATTAAGCAGCGTTTCCACAAGCATAGTTTATTGGCGCCACTGCACGTGCCAGTTTGCTGGCGTATTAATAGTGGCGCCAATATCTGTTTCCACTTGATATCAAAAAATTTTAACTGGCGCAGTAGAAAAATGAAAAATGCCGTCAATTTTAATGGTTCAAGCAGGTATTAATGTTGCTGTGGATATTTTGTTTCTAGAATTATTGCAGAAGACCCGAAAAAACAAGAAGAAGAAACATAAACACAAGATCTGGGTACGAAAATGGATTTCACGCAGAAAAACTCTAGAAGCATCAAATAATTTACTGTCTGAGTTAGCGGATGGAGACCATGAAGCATTTGCAAAGCTTATGAAGCATTTCCAAAGCTTCTTATTTTGCTTTTAGCAGCAGTGATATCAAATCCACTTGAGAACACGAGAACACGCACAATACGTCAACCTTATCCTTATAGATCCCGTTCATTCCTGTCTTTGTAACACGAAAGTTTGCGATTCCACAAACAGGGATGCTCTTCCATAAACTTTATATGTTCAATTTTTTAGATTTACTTGACATTTTCATTAGTTTTCTGGAAACGACTAGTTAAAACTTTTGTATTTTTTTTTTTGGCAAAAAGGACCACAAACTGAAGAAACTGTCACATATGGCAAACTGGCGCCAAAAAGTAGACATCCATTGTACTTTACTAGCGCATGAATAAGTGGCGCAAGTTAACTGGCGCCAGTTAATTTAACGAGTTTCCACACGCCAGAAAAGTTCCGCCAGTCGACTAGCACCAATAAACTATGCATATGGAAACGCCGCTTTATGGTATATTTGGAAAATATTCAGTGCGTTCCATTTAAAAAAATGCAAGTGTTTGTCATTTTATCTCTGTTTGTCATCATGACAGTTGGCACCTGTCATTTGCCCTACAACTTTTCATTTGCTGTTTAATTTTTTTCGAATTCTGAAGCACTAGAATGGTCGCAGCGCCAGAACTAAAATAGCTAGCAAAAAAAGTCATAAGGCAAAGTTGATCAGAATGTATAATTATCTACAACTGTTATTGAGGTCATTTTGTTGGGAAAAAAATAAATAAATGAGGAACAAGCCAATAGGGCCGAACGCACAAGGCTTTTGAGTGTGATTTTTTCGCTCAATACTCAGAACAGCTCTGAAAAAATTAGCTGCCCCCTGTAAATTTTTTTGAAAAACCCCTATATTCACTGTACTATTATAAAAATATAAATATCGGCGTTATCAGTATAAAATTTCGCAAACACACTTTTTGAGAATGCTGTAGATACTTCACAAAATCTCCGTATTTTAAGTAAACGCTTTAAGTATCTAGCTTTTGCTAGTGAGTAAAAGGAAAAGGTTATTCACTTCAATTTCAGCGATTGCTATTAGCAAAAGCTACGTCTATCTAGTAAAAGCTAAAGCTATCACTTAATACTAAAAGTGAAAGCTTAGTTTTTATTCACACTGCCCATTATTGTTTTATTACACACTGTAATAAAGTGAGTGGTTGAGATGTCAACTTTAGATTCTAAAATGACATCTTGTAACATAAATTCAACTCCCTCCCAGTAACAGCTGCAACCCCCGAACCCATCTTTCATATTTGATATCCCAACCCCTACTGTCAATTTAAAACTGAATTTCAGCATTTTTTAAAAGAATATCTATGCATAACAAATAAACTCTCACTGCATTTATTCCATTTTGCTATCCCACATATAAGTATATCAATATCGTTTATATCCAATACCAATAGGTACATAAAATTCCGGGTCGCATCAGCTGATTGAACAAGACTTGCGCAGTGGAACCGAATATATAGGCTATAAAAGAAACGTTTTCCGGTTTCAAGCAAACAGTTGGAACCTAATTTTTTTTAACGAAAATGATAATTTCCAGACTGCTGGGCAGTTTTTGTTTGATTTGTTTTTGTGTGGGCGATAAAAGATTATTAATAGATCAACTAAGATGGGACTTTTTGGAATTGGAAAACGAGCTTTGGAATTTGTCGTCGAACGGGTTGTTGTACATGACCCGAGAGGAGGTCGAGCCTTATTTGTGTGAGAAATTTCAGGATTTTGACAAGAAATTAATGCAGGTAAGAACATGATTGCGTGAGTATAAATACGTACGCTATCAAAAATGTGTTAAATTATGGATTTCTTCAATATTTTTCTTTAGTAAATTGTTTGTATTTATTTTATAACTTTTTGCAACAAATGAAAAATTGCAAATTTCTTCAAAATTCATTTAGATATAGAAGAGCCACTGGGCTTCCTGTCAATCAAAGTTAGCATGATTTAAATCAAGTGATTTTTTTGAAAAAAAATCAATAATTTAAATCAATTTTTGGAAATTTCAAATACTTAATACTCAGATTAAGAAATAAAAGGCCGCAAAAGGAGGCACAATTAAGATTGAAATAGGTCCCCGTAACTTTCAGCCAAATTTCAATATTTTAAAGGTATCATCATTGCAAAAAAAAAAAAATGAAATGTAAAGAGGATCGTATGTCTGTGATAGCAGATATAGCTCATCAAAGTACGTATAATAGGACCTGCTATGCTATGCATAGGAAATATCCGAGGAAATATTCCTACATAGATTTTCTTGAATATCTCGAAAAATACTAATCCGATTTTGACGTTTTTGGGCTCCTTTTGTAGGTATCAAACTCCAAAAAGGTCAAAATCAGATTATTATTTTTTGAGATATTCAAGATCTACGTAGGGATTTTTCCTCAGATTTTCCTCAGATATTTCCTATGCATAGCATAGCAGGACCTACGTACTTTGATGAGCTATATCTGCTATCACAGACATACGATCCTCTTTACATTTTAAATTTTTTTTCGTCATAATTTTTATTATTACATCTAATTATAATTATATTTCTTTTTTACAAAAACAATTACAAATTAATTAATTTCATTTTGACTAATTTTTTTTTTTTTGAATATAGGTTCCCACACCTACATACCTATTTTATAGGTATATTTTTAATTATTTTTTGGTTTTTAGACATTACCGTTTATTTAAATTAAAACTTTAATTAGTTATGCAATTTATATTAACTGCGTCTTTCAATGATTATGTAACTGAGTTCAATGTGACACCGACATTGACATCTTATGAAATTTCAACAATATAAACACATGTGACATCTACTTCTAAATACAAACATTGCACCTGGATTTGTGTTTAGGTGTGAAAGAACAATTTATCAGGGTCGAAAGTGAGTTCTCCAGGCCGAAAGTGATAGTGAATTTTTGAAAAAGGGTTATGTGTATCACTAGAAAAGGGACTTTTTCGGGGTTTCGCTTGAGAATGGGTATTTTTTCTCATACTTTTGCATGAAGTGGAATTTCTCGGCCCCGAGAAAAGATTGAAGCCTCATTGAACGTATTGCCTACAGTGGCGTGCAGAAAAAATTTGCTTTTGACATTATATAATTAAAACCGAATTTATAAATTAAATTATACTATGCAATTAAACAGCTTAATGATTAACTCCAAGTTACTACTCTTGATACAGGACTGTATTCCAGTGGCGTACCACCAAGAGCATCTTTTGGTTTGGTGGGAAGGACCTAAAAATTGGTATTTTTCGAAATGCTATGATGCTGGTCTACACCGCTGTTCATATTTCATCTGGAATTTTTTAACCTTGTTATTTAGCATTGGCGTACCCACTTGGATAAAAGGGTAACCTCCCGCAATCATGTCTTTCGGCTCGACCACGAATTTTTTTCTGTCATGGGTAGCTTAAAAAAAAACGTGCAATGACTGGTCTCCTGAGAAGTAACCATAGGAAGTAACGGAGACCGACTATCCCAAAAAAAGTAATTTCTCAAATTTTTCGAAAGTTGTCTATAACGCAAATTATCGAATTTTCGAAAAAGAGTTACATTTATCCCTAAAGGGACTTTTTCGGGGTTTCTCTTGAGAATGGGTATTTTTTCTCATACTGTTGCATGAAGTGGAATTTCTTGGCACCGAGAAAAGATTGGAGCACTTATAGACTGTGAGATAGGGGCTGTTTTGCGGAGTCATTTTTTTTTTGTCTGGCAAAACTGATTTACATGAAGATTTTTTTTTTAATGATCTCAAATTTTCTAGCTTTTAAATAAAAGATTGACATTGATAAATAATTCACCCATGAAAAATATCCGATGCTTTTCAATAGCTGAAAAAATGGGGATGGGTGTCAACTTCCAAGAGAAAAAAAAAGAACCTTCCGCGTTTACTTTTTGTCTGGCAATCGAGAGAATGAAAGATTTTGTTGTGAAAATAATGCTGAAAAATCGCCAGACGGTAATCACAGTTCGAAATGGAGTTTTCCGGCGAAACATTCTGTGGACATTTCGAACAGGAGGCAGGCATTAAAACCACTTATATTCTCATCAGCTAACTAGTCACATTCATCACTAAAAATGCCAGACAAAAAAAAATTACTCCACTAAACAGGCCCTATCTCAGGGTCTATTATTGAACGTTATTACCTACAGTGGTATGCAGAAAAAATTTGCTAATGGAATTTATAAATTATACTAAGTATGCAAATAAACAGCTTATTGAACAAATCCAACTCTTGATACAAGGGTGTATTCCAGTGGCGTAATACCAAGAGTATTTTCTGGTTTGGTAAGAAGAACTTGAAAATTGGTATTTTTCAAAATGCTATATGATGCTAGCAAATACTGCTGTTCATATTTTATCTGGAATTTGTTATCTTTTTCATTCAGCATTGGCGTACCAGCTTGGATAAAAGGGTCTTTTGTTGGATAACTTCCCACAATAAATGTCTTCCGGCTCGACCTTGTATATTTTTTTTCATGGTTACCTACTTATTATTTTTTTAAACATGGCAATTGATGTGCGTCCCGAGAAGTAATGGAGACCGAATTACACACAATAGTCAGTGTTGTAGGAGATACCGTTATTGCTACGCGATAGACTGGTAGATACCTTCTGAGGTACGCGTCCACTAAGCGGAACAAGTTGGGGCGGATCGCATCGCAAAAATGCGTCTACCATAGATTAAAATGTAATTGCAGAGTGGACGCAGATTCATTTGAATCTATGGTAGACGGATTTTTGCGATGCGATCCGCCCCAACTTGTTCCGCTCAGTGGACGCCTATCTCAGAAGGTATCTACCAGTCTATCGCGTAGCAATAACGGTATGCTCGGCCGCATCTAAACATTCTGGTATAGGATTCGGCACCTACGCATATTTTATTGGTCGATTTGAATAGTTTGATTTCGGATCGCCAATTAATGTGGAGAGCCGAAATCCGTACTGGTATGTTGAACGGTGCTGAGCATTAGGTCGAAATGGTTCTGTAGCAACAGGTATGTGGAGTGCCGAATCTAAGATCAAAATGTTAAACAGTGCCCAGCTGCAGGTTGGAATGTCAGCGCGGCACAAAATCAGCAAACATAAGTTTTATTTACTTGTTGCCACATGCAGTGGCGTAGCTAGGCGTCGCCGACATCGGCGACCGCCGACGGCATCGCGCCCTGAGGAGCCTCGCAAAAAATAGGATACCGAACCTAAAAATTGACACTTTCCGATTTTTCAAAATAAAACGTAGAGAACAAATAAACCTAATCCTATACGGAACTTCTAAATATCATAGATTTCGCTAAAACTTCTCTCTCTTCAATTCTACTGCAAATTAACCTAGAACTATCAAATCATATGGTTTTCTAATTCCAAAATGTCACCAAAATAAAACATGTGGATCAACGACCTCCCGTCTGCCAAATTAAATTTATGTTACATTCACGATGTAATGCATCAATAAGTAAATGGCAGAAAATCTCGGTTGGTATAATAATATTTAACAATTTTTGAAGTTGTATCAAAATGCTGAGATGTTGAAACAATTTTCTCCCATCTGCCATTTCGAAGATAAGTTTGTCATGCAAAGTGAAATCCAAGAAATATATTGGCAGATGTATCCAAGGCATATTAACAATTGGCAGAAACAATAAAAATGTCAAAATTTTTCAAAGTTGAGATCAACTTTTTCCCGTCTGCCAATAATTTATATTAAATTAGCTACTACTAAAAGCCTAAATTTCGACTGGCAGAAATTGCAGGCTGATACAAGTTCTCATAATTTATGAACAAAATTGGAACAAAAATTGTTCATATCATGAACGTTTTTAACCCGTCTGCCGTTTGTTACAGTGAAAAGTAGTTATGCGAATATGCATAATCTCAAAATGGCAGAAACCTCAATGAGCTACGTACGTTGCACAATTATTGTTAAATTGCTAAAAATGTTTATGTGTCCAAACAATGGACCTTTTGCACTCAATCAAAATTAGGTATATAATTTATCTGTATCGAAAGTGTATTTTATGTACCATCGTCACCAAAAGTAACTGGGACACAAATAATGCCTAATAATCTCCTGAACTAATTCTACTGTCATTCATTTCATTGCATTTAATGCATAGTTTCACAATAAAATTCATATAAGAGGACAAGAGCTAATGTGATGCTGTCCCAGTTACTTTTGGTGATGATGGTACTACATAAAAGTATGGTTGGTTAATTTTTAAAAAAATCTTGAAGCCAGAAATTGGAAGAAAAAAAAGCAGATTATCTGAATTTTGTGCCATATTTTTGCACCAATCAAAAATCACTGATTGTCAAATTTCCATGTTCCAAACGATTCATTTTTTTTTGTTCTTTTTTTAACACATCGGACAAAAAAGGAGACATATATATATATATATATATATAAATAATTTGGAGAGGATATCGGGTAGCGGTCTGGACTAGTGAAACTCATTTGTTTTTATACTCAATATTTCGTCTTATATTTTAGACTTCATCAGGAGAAACTACAAGAAAAATAATGAATAAAAATATTTTGGTATAAATAACAGAAATGGCAGTTTAAAACGAATTGTACAATAATAAAATATATTGAGTATAAAAACAAATGAGTTTCACTAGTCCAGACCGCTACCCGATATCCTCTCCAAATTATTTAATTAGTACGGTCGATAACTGATTTTCATTTTAATATATATATATATACACTCATCAAAAAAGTCTAGGGAACAAGAAATATTCGTCTT